GTAACTAAACTAGAACTGGTCAAAACGTTGTTCTGAGTGCCCTCAAGTAAAAATCAGCGTCGCTTGCAAAAAACAAGAAAAGAAATCCATTTACCGGTGCAATTATGTTGGAAAAAAGCCCAATTTGACGGTAACCAAAGCAAGAACATGTTTTTGGTTCAATAAAGCTGAAAACAGCGTATTCTAGCAATTACAAAAAGAAAACGCTATTGAGACTCTTCTCACAAAGATGATGCTGAAAACAACGTAACCTAGCCAAAAACTAGCAAAACCGTTGTCACTTAGCCAATCACAAGAAAAAACGTGGTTTTGAGTAAAATCAAGAGAACAGCAGGGTGACTCGCTGCAAACTGGAAGAAAACCTTTTTCCCGTGCAATAACCATGGAAACAACACAACTCTATGGAAAGAGACCGTAGTGTGAGTGCAACGTGTTTTAGCAAACAAAAAGAAAAAACGCTGCTTTTTGCGATATAAAGTTCCAAGAACCCAATCTTGGTGCCAACTAACCAAAACATATTTTCGGTATTATGAAGCTTGAGGCAGCGTGTTTTCTGGCGAAAAACTAAATCGCTGCTTTTTCTGACATAAAGTTCGAAGCTTCCAATTTCGTTGCCAACAAACCAAAACATGTTTTCCGTATGATAAAGGGTCAAAAGCGAAGTTTAACTCGGAAAAAAAGGAAAAGCCTGCTCTCCGAAACATAATGCTGAAAACAGCTAACCATAGCAAAAAAACAAACAAAAACGTTGTTTTGAGTAAAATCAAGTAAAATCAAAATAACTCGCTGCAAACTGGCAATAACACTGGAAACAGCCCAATTTTACCGCAAACAAAGCAAAACGTGTTTCTCCTTTATTAAAGCTACATGCAGCGTATTTTAAACACAGAAAGGGAAAAACGCTTTTTTTTTTGTGACAAAGGGCTCAAAGCAACTTAATTTAGTTGCCAACAAACCTAAACATTCTTTCGGTAATATAGAGCGTCAAAAGTGTAGTTTGGTAACGAACAAAGAGGAAAACGTTTTGCTCAAAAAGATGATGCTTATTACAGTAGAACCTAGCCAAACACAAGCAAAAACGTTGTTTTAAGTAAAATCAAGTAAAAATCAGCGTGACTCGCTGCAACCTTGCAAAACATCTTTTCCCGTTGCAATACCGCTGAAAACAGGGCAATTTTACAGAAAACAAGCGAACACATGTTTATGGTGCAATGAAGCTGAAAGTAGCGTTTTTTAGCATTTAAAAAAGGGAAAATGCTACTTTGCCGTAAGATCAAGCTTAAAGCAGTTTAATTTAGTTGCCAACAGGGCAAAACATGTCTTTGCTGCAATAAACCGTGAAAAACCGTAGTCTAGTTACAAAAGAGTACAAAGCGTAGTTCGCAGAAAGATAATGCCGAAGACAGTGGTAACTTAGCCGAAAACAAACGAAAACGTTGGTTTAGTGAAATCAAGTTCTACTTAGGGTGACTAGCTGTAAAGAGGCAGAAACGGTTCTTCGATGCAGTTACGCTGGAAACATGTTTTTGGTGCGATACAGCTGAAAGCAGCGTATTTTAGAAACCAAAAGGCGAAAATGCTTTTTTGTGAGCTTTAACTCACAATCGCCCGGTTTAATTGCAAACAAATAAAAATATGTTTTCCATTCGATAATGCTCAAAACATCGTAAGTCGGAAATTCCACTCAGATGCTGCAAGGCTACACCAGTAATTGCTTAGGGTTATGGTTAGGGTTACGGTTAGGGTTACGGTTAGGGTTAGGGTTTGGGTCAGGCTTAGGGTTTGGTTTGGTTAGGTTTGGCTAACCCTACGTGTTTGTAGAATCTTTTTATGTGTAGATATACAGCTAGAACCGGGGAATGAACAAGAGAAAAGAACTAGAACAGATGGAGGTTACGAACAGAATTCCGGAAGCCCTAGAATCCTGGAGGGGTGAAAAGAAGTACAGGGGACTTCTAAGATAAGTATGGCTCGTTCACTACAAGTGCCAGAGGCAGGAGAGACTCTTGTTTGGGTCGCCAACTTCTCTGACAAAGCTCTCACCTTACGATCACCTCTCCCTTCTGCTGAATACCATACCGTCAGCGGTGTGGCAGTGCTACTCCTACAGAAATTGCGTTAGTCCAGCAGCACCTAACCATCCATACTGCTTAGTTATAGACAGAAATATTGAGGATGATAAGCAGGAAAGTACTGAAAGAGAGAATAAAAGGGCAAAAGTTATCCAGCCAAGTTCAGATGGGCCTTCAGATGAGCAGAAAAGGGAATTTTCCCTACTGATAGACCAATATGAGGACATATTTGCAATTAATGATTCTGATTTAGGATGATTAGATCTTATGGAACACGACATTAATACTGGTGAGCATGCTCCCATTAAGCAGGTTCCTCGTCGCATACTACCGCACCAGGGGGAGATCATAGATCAACAGCTGGACGAGCTGCTAACGAATGGTAGAGTTGAAGAGTCGCAGAGCCCCTGGAGCAGTCCGGTTGTTTTGGTAAGGAGACATGATGGAAGTTACCGTATGTGCATTGATTACCGCAAACTGAATTTGTGTACATAGAAAGATGCAATATCGCTAGCGACGACCGATGATGTCTTGGAAGCGCTGAGTGGTGGCCCATGGTTCTCCTGTCTGTATTTGGTTTCTGGGTATCGGCAGATGGAAGTAAAAGAAGAGAACAGACCCAAAACAGCATTCTCGACCCATCGTGGACAATTCCAATGGAGGGTTATGCCTTTTGGACTCACGAATGGGCCAGCTAGAATTACCAGATTGATGATTCTAGCAGTCAGTGAACCGACCTCGACACACTGTCTTGCGTATTTGGATGATATTATTATCTGGGCCCCTTCCCTCGAGGAACATCTGCATCGCCTACGGTTATTATTTGACAGGATACGAACTGCTGTTCTTAAGCTGGAGCCAGCTTAGTGTCGGTTTCTAAAGAGAGAAGTTTCGTTCGCAGGGCATGTTGTCTCTTCAGATGGCATCAAAACTGATCCTGACAAGGTCCAGACTGTCAGAACTTGGCCAACCCCGGTAGACATAAAAGAGCTCCAAAGCTTCATTGGTCTTGCCATTACTATAGGCGGTTTATTTCTGGATTCTCGATCGTCGCAGAACCACTCTACGAATTGTCGAGGAAGGGTGTTTCTTTCCAGCGGCAGATGAAACAAGAAAGTGCCTTCAATGAACTGAAACATCGCTTGACCATTGCACCCGTCTTGGCATATCCCGATTTTAGTCCTGATGCAGGATTATTCGTAGTTGACACAGATGCCAGCCAACCCTTGGACATTGGCGCCGTTTTATCTCGATTGCAACGCAATGACACTGAGCGTGTGATAGCTTACGGGAGTCGTTCTTTCAATGAGCAGGAAAAGAACTATTGCAGGACTCGATAAGAGATGCTAGCTCTCGTAAACAATGTGGACCATTTTCGCTATTACTTGGTGGGACAAAAAATTGCGCCCGAGGACTGATAATCACTCATTAGTCTGGCTAATGTCTTTTAAAGAGCCTCAAGGGCAAGTGGCCTGTTGGCTAGGGCGCTTACAGTATGATTCTGAGATACGACGTCAAACGGGGAGGTTACACAACAATGCAGACGCCTTGTCTAGAAGGCCCAGACGACAACATGGGAATTGTCCATCGTGTACTCCAACAGGATTATCCCAAGTTACGGTTGTTGCTAGAAATTGTTGGTACCCACTTTGTACTTGGTACGTACTTTGTCGTTTGTTGAAAGAGTGGAGGAAACCGGCTGTTGAGGAACTTCACGTCGATGCACTGTGCTGCTCGTGCTGTCTGGGCCCAGTTTGAACTGTTGTTGCTACAACAGCGGGTTCTCTATGTAAAGTCAGCTGCCCATTCTCGGAAATGAGCCAAATCTGCACAAAACCTTAAGGGGCATGTTGAAAGCTAGAGTTGAAGATAATCCAGCTACACGGGATGAGCACTTCGATTTTTGCCTGATGGCCTATCGCAGTAGTGTTCATTCCTCCACGGGGCACAACCCGTCCGAGCTCATGTTCGGTAGAGAGATGAGGATACCTTTGGATGTAATGGTTGGCGGTGCTGAAGACAATGAGTGTTCCTACACTGATTTCGTTGCTGTAGAACAAGTTGCACAAGTTGCAGAATACTAAACTGCTTGAGGTAGCTCAAATGGTCAAACTAGCTACACGTTTTCAACTGCACCATGAAGCTGAATTGGTTCCAATAGTTCAAATTGTATAACTGGCTGAAAGTATTCGACTGGCCAAAAGCATCAAACCAGCGAAGACCGCTAATCTGACAGCAAAAAATGCCAAATCGTTCTCGATTCTTTGAAGGAGTTCAACTTGTCAAATTTGCTCAAGTGGTCTAACTGCATAGGATGCACAAAGCTTTATAGGTTCAATCTAGAAATCTCTACAATGTAGCTAAATTTGTCGAAGTGGTTGAAATGGTCCAAGTAGTTGAAATTGTTCCACTGGTTTGGTGGTCAAACTAGTGAACAAAGTTGCAGAATCTATCGTAATTCGTTGAAGTCGTTCAAATTGTGAAACCTGACCAATATGGGCTAATCACACATAATCATTGAAAAGTCAAACTAGTGTGGACAATCATACTCCAAAAATAGCCCAATCTATCTTAATTGGTTCACTTGCTTGAAATGGTCAAACTAGTTTAACTTGCTCAACTGCATGAACCGCAAGATTTAACTGAATTTTTCCATGACAAGTCAGCTTAATTGCTTCGACTATTGAAATAGTCAAAGTAGCGGAAACGGTTAAACTGCACAAATTGCAGTCTCTATCTCGACTATCTGAAGTCGGTGAAATGCTCGAACTAGCTTAAATGCTTCAACTGCACAATATGCACACTTAGCTAAACAGTTTGAACTGCAGATACGGCACAATCTATCATACATGGATGGAATGGTTAAATAGTCCAACTAGGGAAGACTGGAAAAAAAACAGCAACGAGTTAGAACTGTAAAAGCTAGAAATGCAAGGAAGGCTGAAGAGAGAAGAAAAGGAAAGACAAGAAAGGACGGAAGAAAAGAACAGACAAGAAAGGGTGGAAGAGAAGGAAAGACAAGAAAGGATGGAAGAAAAGGACAGACAGGAAAGGTGAAATTTGATATCACCGAGGATCTTGAGTTGGTATTTCCATTTCAGGAAGGAGACGCTGATAAGTGTTTCTTGCACTTTGAGAAAGTAGCTGGCAATCTCAAGTGGCCGACGGATTCCTGGGTAATTCCATTACAGAGTGTACTAGTCGGTAAAGGAAGAAAAATTTAAACACGGTTAGGTGTAGAGCAAGCTGCAAATTATGACACTGCTAAGGATATTATTTTAAAGGGTTCTGAAATAGTTGCCGAGGTTCAGAGACCGTGAGAAAGTCAATGGTCAGACTTATGTAGAATTTGCTAGAAGTAAGGAACAGTTATTTGATCGTTGGTGCCATTCGCAGAGGGTAGATGAGAGTCACGATAGGTTAATGACAGCTAGTTTTAATAGAGGAGTCTAAGAGGTGCATTCACAGTGATGTCCGAACGTTGGTCTATGAGCAAAAAGCAGAAACCTTAGAGAAAGGTGCACGACTAGCAGATGAGCTTTGGTTGAGGCACAAAGTGAACTTCATGGAAAAACCCCATCAGCTTCACACTTCACCCGCTAGAGTTCTGCCTCCTTCGGTACCACGATGGTTTGCAAAGCCAGACAAGTCGGCAGAATGACGGAGGACATCCAAAGCAGAATCCTGCTAACAATTATGGGAATCGTTTCAGCTCCTCATGGTCAAGACACAACAAGTTTGATCGAGGTAAGCCCATCAAGCTGATTTCTAGTTGCCCGGAAAAGTGGAGAGTGGCGCCTAAGCGTGATGGTTTTCTCGCTAAGACATTGACTTTGACTGCTGTTGGTGAAGATACACCGCCCTCCCAAAGTTTTAAGAGAGAAGACTCGAGCAAGTGCTGTTAGTGAAGTCAAGTGGTCCCTGCAAATCTGTCATGGATCTTTTTCAGCCCTTCATCCACTATGGTTCGGTGTCATTGTCAACTGATACGTCCAACTCCATACCAATCAAGATCTTGACAGGCACTGGAGCCTCACAGTCTCTATTGCTGAGTGACACTTTGGTGTTTTCCGAGAAGTCGTCCACTTGTGCGAGTGTTCTAATAAGAGGAATCAGTTCCAAGTACACCCCGGTGCCACCGTATACACAGTATACACGAGTAGTCGTCAATGCTATTGTCACCGACAAGCGTGGTGAAGAAAAGTCTCCAGAGCCAGTAGAGAGGAGAATTCTCCGTCTGTACCCATAATGTGTCGTGACACGAGCCATAAGTAAGAAGTTAGAAACCAGAGACAAAAGAGGTAACATTAGCTGACACCGCCATCAGCCAGGTCCTTACGGGTGAGCAACCGAATCCCTCTTTCTCTCGGCCAGTATAAGTACTTTCTGAGAAAAGTTCAATGGAACAGGTCGAAAAGATGTCAACTTCTCAACTCATTGCAGAACAACACGAGGACCCGGAAGTCTCACCTATATTTTCAAGAAGTGTTAGTGAAGGCGAAGTATCTCAGAACCCCACCAGTTACTTTACGAAGAATGGGGTGCTAATGAAAACGTGTAGAACACACCATGTTCCCACAAAAGAGGAGTGGCCTGTCCAGTACCAGATGATTGTCCCAAAGACCTACAGACCGGACGTTTTAAGCACAGCGGGTGAGACCCCCTTGCCTGGCCACCTGGGTGTCAATAAAACCTGCCAGAGGTTCTTAGACCATTTGTACTGGCTCAGTCTAACAAAAGTTGTGGCGCAATACTGCAAGTCGTTTCACACTGTGTTAGATGGCTTTGAAACCGAATCAGATCGTTCCAAAAGTACCGTTACAGCCACTACCAGCCCTTCAAGAGCCATCCAGCAGAAGAATCATTGTTGATTGTTGAGAGCCACTACCTAAGAAGAGGTTTGGACACCAGTATTTGATGACCATCATGTGTGCATCCAGTAGATTTCCTGAAGCCGTGCCCTTGAGAAATATCAGTGCAAAGGTCATAGTCAGAGCTTTAACCAAGCTCTTTACACCGGTAGGTCTCCCAAGTTCTATCCAGTCTGACCAAGGTTCCAGTGTTGTGTGGCGTATTTCAACACGTCCTGCACGAGCTTGGAGTCACACAGTATATGTCAACCGCATGTCACCCTCAAAGTCAAAGAGCTCTCGAAAGATGGCACCAAACACTGAAGAACATGATGAGGATCTACTGTTTCGAAACAGAGGAGGATGGGGACGAGGGAAGCCATCTACGACTGTCTGCTGCAGCTGAGTCAGTACAGGAGTCTCTACGATTCAGTCCATTCGAGCTTGTATTTGAGCACACTGTGAGAGGACCTCTTAAACTGCTTAAAAAGAAGTTATTATCTAGCAGCACTGAGTCTACGAATCTCTTGCAGTATGATTCAGATTTTTGCAGTAAGCGTTTTAGAGCTTGTTAGTTAACTAAAGCTAATCTTAGTCCTCTCGAGATGCCTTTGAAAGAGAATTATGGTTAAATAGTCAAGCTTGGGATGACATTTGAGCGTTCAGAATGCTGCTGTCGCCTCTTAACAGACAAGCAACCAATATCCTGAGCTACCTACATGAAAAGTTTGAGCTGCGACTTGGTACCTTGTCTTTTTGCTCTTTCACCATTGCTGTTAGACAGTTGAATTGGTTTAACTGGATATAATGGTTAGACTTACTAAAACTCTACCTGGAAACAAATGCACAAAGTAGGTAGAATGGTCAAATAAGTGCATTTCTTACTCATCAACCGTTTCACCTAATTTGACTATTTTAACGACATTAAACCAATTATGCTTCCATGTGCATTTCGTCCAGATAAAACCTTTATGCTAGCTTGAGACATTTTGAGGGGTCCAATCGATTAAGCTAGTGTGTACATTTCGTCAAGTTGTACCGTTTCAGCTAACTTTCAGGAGTTTAGATACATTGCGCAATTTTGCAGGTAAAGAGTCCTCACTAGTTCGACTACTTAATCGAATGAATCATTCAGGCAAGATTGTGCATATTTTGCTATTCAGATAGATTGTGTAGTTTATGCAGTTGAACCGTCCTTCCTGCGTTGACTATTTAACCAGTTGAGCCTGTTAAGTCATTTTGACTATTTAAAGTACTTGAGTCAATTCAGCTAGATTGTGCGGGTCGTACATATCAATAATTGAAGTCAGTTAGACCACGGGAGATAGATTGTGCCTTTTTTCCGATTGACTGTCTTTCCTAGTTTGACTTTTTAACCATTCGATCCATCAAAGCTAGATCGTGCATTTTATGCAATTCACCATGTTAAACCTCTTGCGCATATTGTCCAGTTGGCTAGAGCATATAAACTACTTTGTCCAGTGGAGAAAGATTGTGCAATATTTGCACTTTAACTGTCTTCACTGGTTTTGAATATTTGGTCAGTAGAACCAAGTAAGTTAGTTTCAATATTTTCTCTTCTTGAACCCATTTAGCTAAATTATGCAGGTTGTGCAGTGGAATAAATGGAGCTAGTTTGACCATTAGAACTACCTCGTCCAACTAGGATAGACTCTTCCCTTTTTTTCGCTCAAATGTCTTCCCAAGTTTGACTATTTAACCAGTTGATCCATTAAAGCTAGATTGTACAGTTTGTGCAATTCAACCTATTAAGTAGTTGTGGATATTGTCCAGTTGAACCATTTAAGCTAGTCTGACCAATTAAAATACGTCAACCAATTAAGATGGAATAATGATTGTGGATGTATGAAATCATATATGGACACCGCGGTGAAGAGACGAATATACTGTATTTCTTGACCAATAAGCCGAGACCCCAAAAGCTAGAGCCCTTTTAACAGACTTGTGTTGTCCAAAAGAACAAGCAAAACCATCAGCTATAAGGCGAGAGCAAAATTCTTGATGTAACAGGCCATTTGAGTAAACGAACTTCACGGAAAACATTAGCAAATGGCTGATATGATAGAACAACAGAAATACACATAGAAATTTTTACAGTAACTTTATAACCATCCTTTCGTCTTTTAAAAGCTAGAGGCTCAGTAGGTACTGTCGTGTCGGTCATTGTTTAACTGTCTCTGTTTTGATGCTACTTTTCGACATAGAAAAAGTATGTCGGACAAAATTATTCACCAAAGAAGAAATGATTCTTTGCTAGCTTCAATAATGACCGGGGATTAATTTCAAATAATACAACGAAGGATTATGCCGACAGAAATACTGGAGGTCCAGCAAACTCGTTACATGAGGTCACCCAACTCGGGTAATATTCAGGGTAAAAGTTTGCATATTTGAGCGGTCGAACGAAAAAACTCATTTCTCACAACTAATATATATTTTCACAAAAAAAAAAACACACCACAGGTATCAGGACATGTTGGACTACAAAATATGAGAGTAGGAGAGAAACAAACTTAAGCGGCTCGCTGCTGTTTGTCTGATGCATGTTGACAGCAGCTTTTGAGGTCATTTAGCTTCTTCTCAATGACATAAGAACCAAAACGTCTACAATTACGTTTGTTTCTAGGCACTGGCAACAATGCAAGAGCCTTTTCTTCTGACTTGAAGTCACGTTCTACAGCATCTACATCATAATTCTCCTTCAAAGGCATCTCGAAAGGACTAAGATTAGCTTTAGTTAACTCACAAGCTCTTGGGAAGCTGATGGGGTTTTTCCATGAAGTTCACTTTGTGCCTCAACCAAAGCTCATCTGCTAGTCGTGCACCTTTCTCTAAGGTTTGTGCTTTTTGCCCATCAACCAACAATCGGACATCACTGTGAATGCACATCTTAGACTCCTCTATTAAAACTAGCTGTCATTAACCTATCATGACTCTCATCTACCCTCTGTGAATGGCACCAACGATCAAATAACTGTTCCTTACTTCTAGCAAATTCTACATAAATCTGACCATTGACTTTCTCACGGTCTCTGAACCTCGGCAACTATTTCAGAACCCTTTAAAATAATATCCTTAGCAGTGTCATAATTTGCAGCTTGCTCTACACCTAACCGTGTTTAAATTTTTCTTGCATTACCGACTAGTACACTCTGTAATTGAATTACCCAGGAATCCGTGGGCCACTTAAGATTGCCAGCTACTTTCTCAAAGTGCAAGAAACACTTATCAGCGTCTCCTTCCTGAAATGGAAATACCAACTCAAGATCCTCGGTGATATCAAATTTCACCTTTCCTGTCTGTCCTTTTCTTCCATCCATTCTTGTCTGTCCTTCTCTTCCACCCTTTCTTGTCTGTCCCTTCCACCCTTTCTTGTCATCCTTTCTTGTCTGCCTTCCTTGCATTTCTAGCTTTTACAGTTCTAACTCGTTGCTGTTTTTTTTTCCGGTCTTCTCTAGTTGGACTATTTAACCATTCCATCCATGTATGATAGATTGTGCCGTATCTGCAGTTCAAACTGTTTAGCTAAGTGTGCATATTGTGCAGTTGAAGCATTTAAGCTAGTTCGAGCATTTCACCGACTTCAGATAGTCGAGATAGAGACTGCAATTTGTGCAGTTCAACCGTTTCCGCTACTTTGACTATTTCAATAGTCGAAGCAATTAAGCTGACTTGTCATGAAAAAATTCAGTTAAATCTTGCGGTTCATGCAGTTGAGCAAGTTAAACTAGTTTGACCATTTCAAGCACGTGAACCAATTAAGGTAGATTGGGCTATTTTTGGAGTATGA